ATGACATCAAAGTTATTTGTATTTAAAACAATTTAGTTAACTATTGTTCTCTTGTTGAACACGTGAATTTTTTTCATCACAAATAGTTCTGTGATAAACATCTTTATATATACACATGCTTTGGTATTTCTGGTTGTTTCTTAGAATTAATTCCTGGAGGTAAAAGTGAGGTCAAAAGGAAAGAATATTTCAAAGGTTCTTGATACATATTTCCATATTACTTTCCAGAAAAACTGAAGCAATTTTCACTCCCACTGTACCCTTCGTAGAGAATTATTACTTTTCGATATTTGTTAATTTGGTTAGTAAAAAATGGTATAGCATTATTTTTAATATTTTTATTTCCTTGATTCTTTTTAAGGCCACTGTGCAATTTATTTTTTGAACATAAATGCAAATTTTTGATCTCTATTATTTTACACTACAGTTTAATTTTTTATCAATATTCTAGTCCACTGAGATGTTTTTGAATCAAACATGTGCCGATAGTTTGAAGGGACTGCTGAACAAGTGAGTGCCTGTTTGGCCACATTAATAGGAGTACAATACGTAGAGCCGGGGAGGTGATGGTCCCATTGTACTTCCTGGTCAGAGAATACAACCAGAGCTTTTCAGCTTTGTGGTTCTGGGTCTTATTTAAGAAGAACATTAACAAACTAGAGCATATCAGTTTAAAAAATGGTAAAAGATTGTGGGAAAAGGTTAAAGATAAAGGGAATGTTTAATGCTGAGAAGATAAATAAGGAATGTACAGTCAGAATAGCTGTGTGAGAAAATGACAGGACTCTGTATGATCCTTGTAACTTTTTGATATAAAATAGGCTGATGTTCAAGCAAATGCAGTTTATTTTAAGTGTCTTCAGAAACAGAAAAGGAACCAATAGGTGCAAGTAACTGATTTTAGCTTCACAGAAGAAAAAAATCTAATATTTTGTACAGTTATACACCAAAGAACTTCTTCAAAAAGCAGTGAGTACCTTGTCCCTAGAGGTATTCAAGAAAAGGCTTGAGTTCAGAGTGTCCATAGGGGGCCTTATACATGGAGTAGAAGTTTAAATTGGCATAAGGTGACACCTAAGAGCTTTTCTAAAGCCAGGATGTGATGCTATGAGCCACATTCACACCATTATTTGTGGGGTAGGAGGAGAATAGAAGGCCGTGGTGGGGTTCAAAGTGCCCAAAGCAGATGCACCGAGGCAGTCAAGGGCAGAGTCAGCGGGTGGATGGGCGGGGCTGACATGTGCCTCTCTCTGCAGCATTCGTACCTGCTGAAGCTGAAGGTCATGTACACTGTGGGCTATAGCTCGTCCCTGGTGATGCTCCTGGTCGCCCTCAGCATCCTGTGCTTTTTCCGGTGAGAACACGCTGATGTTTTCCATCCCCCAACCCTCCCAGGCACAGACTTTGGGTGTTTTCTTAATTGCTCAGGTCCGAAAGAGGAAGGTGAACTACCTTGTCACTTCTTAATCCAAAGGGTTATCTATGGCAAAATGTTGAAGTCAAAAAAAAAAAAAGTTGAAGTTTCTGGATCCTCCTTCATGCCTTTATTTGTTCAACATTTATTAAACATTACTGAGAACTTGCCAGTTGCTTTATGTACACTATTTCTTTCTTTCTTTCTTTCTTTTTTTTCCGTAGAGACAGAGTCTCACTTTATTGCCCTTGGTAGAGTGCCATGGTGTCACACAACTCACAGCAACCTCCAACTCCTGGGATCAGGCAATTTTCTTGCCTCAGCCTCCCGAGTAGCTGGGACCACAGCACCGGCCACAACACCCGGCTATTTTTTGGTTGCAGTTTGGCTGGGGCCAGGCTTGAACCCACCACCCTTGGTATATGGGGCCGGCGCCCTTACCCACTGAGCCACAGGTGCCACCCTACGTATGCTATTTCTAATTTGCACACAATGCTATGAAATAGGTGATTTTACCCCCATTTTACTGGTATATTAGCCAAACTCTCAGTTGCCAGAAACAGAAATCCACCTCAAAATACTTCAAGAAGAACAAAGGTGGCCAAGCACAGTGGCTCGTGCCTGTAGTCCTATCACTTTGGGGGGCTGAGGTGAGTTGATCACTTGAGCTCATAAGTTTGAGACCAGCCTGAGCAAGAGTAAGACCCTGTCTCTACAAAAAAATAGAAAAACTAGCCAGGTGGTGTGGTGGGCACCTATAGTCCCAACTACTCAGGAGGCTGAGACAAAGAACAGAATAGCTTGAGCCTGGGAGTTTGAGTTGCTATGAGCTATGACATCACAACACTCTACCCAGGGCAACCAAGTGAGACTCTGTCTCAAAAATAAAATAAAATAAAATAAAAAAGAAGAAAGGTGACTTGACCTACAAAAATGACAAGTTCATGGACATCTGTTTCAGGCATGGCTAGATCTAGGGGCTCAGAGGCATCAGCAGAAGTAGGTCTCTCTCCATTTCTCAGCTCTGCCTGGGCCTCATCCTCTGGCAGGCTTTCTGCAGGGGTGGTGGAGATAGGCCTCCGCAGCTGCAGGGGACATTCTACTGGCTCAGCGACATCAGAGGCAGAGAGAGCATCTCTTCTCTGTTCATTCCAGCAAAAGTCCTGGGAGTTCTCACAGGCCTGGCTTAGGCCACATGCTCAACTCTGAGCCAATAACCGTGCCAGGGATGGAGCCCTCAGACTGGTCAGGTCTGTCACCAGGGTGACGGGATAGAGCCATTCCCACCCGGAGCTGGAATGGGTTATGGATAAGAAAGCTTATTTCTACCACAAAAAAATGGAGGAGTAACAGATTTCTGGGCCCTGCAGGTGGAGGAGACCTAGGCTCTGGGAGGTGAAAAGGCTTGCTCAAGGTCATATACCTACTGAATGGCAGAACTGGGGTTTGCTTTCTGTGCCACCCCTTCTCACTCTGATTACCAGCCTCATCTCCCACCCCTAAACAATTCTGTGAGCTGGAGATAGTGATAAGTCAGGGCAGAAGATAATGTTGCTCATACACCTCCAGCTGTTATTTATTTATTTTTTTAACTGCAGCGTGTGGCAGAGAAGACTGGGCACCCTGGGGCCCAGGTCCTCATTCAGGCTTTGCTCACAGACAGGTGTTACCTAGAAAGCACTGATGCCTAAGGCTTTGGTTTCCCCAGTGCCCTAAGAGCAAGCAGGTCTGGCTGAGTCGCAGCCTGTCCTGCTCTGGCCCCTGTGGCCCCCCATTCTCTTCCTCCAGGAAGCTCCACTGTACCCGCAACTACATCCACATGCACCTGTTTGTGTCCTTCATCCTGCGCGCCCTGTCTAACTTCATCAAGGACGCCGTGCTCTACTCTGATGATGATGTCACCTACTGTGATGCCCACAGGGTAACAAGCCTGGGTGCCCCAGCTTTGGAGAGGGTCGTGGCCCAATTATCCTTCCCTCCAGTCCCTGATGAGGCTGCACTTAATGGGTAAAGTGGCCCATGTCTAGGACTGGGAGGACTAGGAGGTTCAGGAGAGTCTGGGATTACACTGCACAATCTGGGTTGTGTATGAGAGCAGTTTATAGGCAGCCTGTGGGAGCTGCTGCTCAACTCCCAGTCTCCAGGAGTGAATTAGTCACTCTGATAAGAATGGCCCCCTGACTGGTACGTTGGGGACAGCTCAGTGTGAGGAAGGTAGCACCACCATAGCACAGGTTCAGGAGCCATGCTGGTGCAGAATTAGGGGGGCTCTTCTTTTGCTTGTTCCTGCCCAATTGTAGACAGGTGGTCTAGAGAGGGTTGGGGCTGGCCGTAAAAAGCAAAGGGTGAGCATGTGCCTGTGTGTCCGTATACATGTGTTTCCAGGAAAACATTTGTGCTTTGTTAAATCTAACCCCCTTTCTCCTTCCAAATGCCCAGGTGACCCTTAATTCAGCATAAACATCCCATGTGTCAGTTGAGAATCCTTTGCTGAAAATAACAAAAAATTGTACATTAGTGGCTTAAGCAGAGGGAGATTGTTTCCCGCAAAAGCAGTCCCTGGAGGAATAGTCCGGAGGAGGTACAGTGGCTCCGTGATGCCCTAAAGGATACATCTTTCTCCCTCTCTCCCCTCTGCCATCCTTAGTGTAGCCTTTGATCTCACGCTTTACACCACATGGTTGCAGTATGCAGCCCCAGTTTCATTGTCCACGTTCCAAGCAAGAAGGAAGAGTCAAACAGTGAACGGTTTTTTTCCTTTTGGGTGGCTTTGCCTTTCTGTTTTTGAAAGGATGCCCTCCCCAGACACTCCTACCTACACCTCATTGGCTGGGATTGTGTCGTGTGACTACACTGACCAGCTGGGAGATTGAGTTTTTACTCTCACAGTCTCCACAGTAGAGGCGAGCAAGGGAGAAAGAGGTTGAAAATTGAGATTGGTTCAGCCAACCTGCCTGTAACTTCCCACCATTCACACCTCACACCGGTTTGTACCGTTTATAGGTTGTGTGTATGTGTATTTTCTGATGGAGACTGAGAGGTCCCTCAAGTACGATCCACATCTCTCAAGGAGTTCGCCAGACTGAAGCAAGAACACCTTCCTGGGAGTCAGGAATCTTGTAGCCCTGCTCATTACTGACCAGCAGTGGGCAAGTCCAGCAATGCCCAGCAGGGAACCTTTTGGGTTTTGCTAAATATTAGACTCACAAGCTGACCATGGGCCTTGCTGGGAAGGGGAGCCTCTGGGAAGGCCATAGGCAAGAAGCACAACTGGCCTACGGGGCAGAACCGATGCTCCTCCTCAGGCCTGTCCTTACAGCAGTCCATGCAGCAGCCCTAGGGCCATCTCCCTGCAATAGCTAGTGAGGAAGGTAGAACCACCATAGCACAGGTTTGGGGGCCGTGCAGGTGCAGAAGCCCCATGCCTCACAGGCTCATAGGCATAGCCTCCAGGGACACCTGCGTGGGACATGCCTGTTAAAAGGGTCACTGCATCAGAGAAACCCAGCACTATAGCATCCCTGTCAGACATGTGGAGGCCTCCAGCCTAGGTGCAATGTACCAGTCAGAGGCCATTCTTACCATAATTAATGTTGCCTCCCAATATAATGGACACATTCCTTCATTATCTCTTTCCAAGGAAACCGAGCTTGGTAAGGTTTTGTTAACCCTTTGCTCAGAAATCCCCTTCCCTGCCTAGGCCTCAGTTTCCTCATCTGAAAAGTGAGGGGTTTGGGCAGTATCTTAACACAGTTCCTCATCTAACCTGGTAGCTAAGTTCAGAATTTGAACCTAGTTCTCCTGCAATGGCTCATTGACTATCTTGGCTGAACCCACTGGGCCCACGGACTTCTACTCTCTAGAGAATCCTGTGGGCCTGGACTTCTGATGGTGGGAGGCCACAGGAGATGGGCCCCAGAGGCCCAGTCTGTGCCCCGGCTCCTGCCCCCACAATGTCCTGTTGCTTTTTGGAGGGCTGGCCACCGGAGGGAAGTTACACGGCCTGGGCTTACCTGCCTCTCTCTGTGCAGGTGGGCTGCAAGCTGCTCATGGTCTTCTTCCAGTACTGCATCGTGGCCAACTACACCTGGTTGCTGGTGGAAGGCCTCTACCTTCACACACTCCTCGTCGTCTCCTTCTTCTCAGAAAGGAAGTGGCTTCAGGGATTTGTCGCCCTCGGGTGGGGTAGGTTTCTTCATGGGTGTAGAACCTGGGTGGTTTGTGGGAAGGGGCATCCAGCTGAAAGTCAGAAAGATCTGGCTCCTATAATACAAGGTATCCCAAAGGTCACCCCTTAAAAGTCACCATACATAGGGAAAATAGGAAATATTAGGTAAATGTACCTTTATTTACACGATATTCATTACAAAATATTCAGAAACAGGTGACCAGCATAGAGAATGTTTTGTAAGTATTTTGTAATGAATATTTTGTAAATAACGGTACATTTATCTACAGTTTCCCATTCTCCTTATGTGTGGGGACTTAAATAACCTTTAGGACGGCCTGCAGTTCTAGCGCCACACTTAACAAACTTGAGTAATATCAGGCAAGTTGCTTGATGTTTAACCCCTTGATCTCAGTTTATTTAGGGAAATAACTAAAATTTAGGCCCAATTTCTGGCATCCAATGCTTTTGCAATTTGGTTCCACCCAGCACTGCTGCCTCATCTTCCTGAGACAGTCTGTTCATATGTCCTCTTTCTTGCTCTTGCTGCTTCTTCTTTTTTTTTTTTTCATTTGAGACAGTCTCACTTTGTTACCCTGGGTAGAATGCCATGGCCTCATTAGCTCACAGCAACCTCAAACTCTTGGGCTCAAGCGATTCTCTTGCCTCAGCCTCTCCAGTAACTGGGACTACAGGCACCCACCACAACACCCAACTATTTCTTTTTTCTTTCTTTCTTTCTTTTTTTTTTTTTTTGAGATGGGGAACTCGCTCTTGCTTGGGATGGTCTTGAACCTGTGACCTCAGGCAGTCCGCCTGCCTCAGCCTCCCAGAGTGCTAGGATTACAGGTGTGAGCCACCGGACGGGCTGTGAGTCCACCAGCCCGTCTTGCTTCCTTTCTGTATCAGGTCGTTTTTGACGGCTGGTATCAGAATATTGGGCTAAGATAGGCTTTCACATAAAGGAAATTAACTGGAACATGTAACTGAAAAGTCCAGGGATAGTCAACTTCAGCTGACCTTGAATCCAACAGCTTAACATTGTTTCTTTCTGTGTCTGCCTTGCTTTTCATAGCTTTATTGTTAGGCTCCTTCATCAGCTTCAGCTTTATTGTTAGGCTCCTGCTCCCAGTGTAATTGCTGGGAGCTTACAGGCTTCCTTGCTACTGATCTCCGATAAAGAAAGGAAGAGACCGTGTCCCAGCATTCTGAGCAAGTATTCTGACCTTCACTCTGATTGGACTGCTTAAATCTCATCCACATCTTTGAAGCAGTCATAGGGGCCTGAGAGTATAAAATGTATTGATTGTCTTAAAACTACTCAAATCACATGGCTTTTCAAGGAAAATTCAGGATTCAGGTCCTACAAAAGAAAGGAAATGACAGCAAGACAGCCAACTACAGGCTCCAAATTTATCTTTTCCTTTCCTTTCTGATCACTGAGGATGATAAAAAGTCCTCTTTCTTGAGCACTTACTACACACTGGGCCTTGAGTTCCACACTTTACATCTACCACAGAATCATCACAACAGCCTCCAGAGGCCTCTCAGAGACTCAGCTCAGTGACACGACAGAATGTGTTCAACTCATACCCTAGACAAGGACAGACCCAGGACTCAAACCAAGGCCTGTTTCCAAAGCCCTTTAACTTTTATCCTACCATCAACAGACATCCACTTACCTACCCATCCATGCATTCCTCCATCTATCTATTCATCTATCAGTTCTTCATTTGATAAACATATGTAAGTTACCCACTGGATTTTAGATAGCCAGGTTCCTGTGAGTAACTCACAGGCTTACAATGATAGTATTATGTGCCAGCCATTAGTTTCTTCCTGGTGCCTTTAATTAAGAGGTGTCCCTGCCAGGATGCCCTGCATTGCCTTTTCTGCTTGTCTAAATCCTTAACGTGCAAGAACCCTGTCTCCCCATCAGGGAAGCTGCCTGAGCTGGCAGAGCTTACTGAGACCTCCTGCTTCTGAACGATGGCAGCCTGATTAGCACATGACCCTCAGCCAGTAGAAGCTTATAGGTTTGTGCAGATGTCCCCAGAGGCCAGAGCACCTTGGGTCCAGGGACTTGCCTTATGCAGTTGACACTGCCAAAAAAAGTACCCAATTTGGAGCTCAAATCACTGAGATTTAAATCTCGTGATTTCTCTGTATGAATGTGCACAGTTTCCCCACCATCTTTGAGCAATTCTTGTGTTCAGAGATTATAAAAATACAGAAATTAGAAAAAAAAATTTTTTTTTGAGGCAGAGTCTCACTTGTTGCCCTCTCTAGAGTGCGGTAGTATCAAAGCTCACAGCAACCTCAAAGTCTTGGGCTCAAGTGATCTTGTCTCAGCCTACCAAGTAGCTGGGACAACAGGTGCCTGCCACAATGCCCAGCTATTTTTAGGGACAGGGTCTCACTTTTGTGCTCAGGCTGGTCTCAAACCTGTGACCTCAGGCAGTCTACCCACCTTGCCCTCCCAGAGCCACTGCACTTGGCCAGGTTGTTGACTTTTTTTTTTGGAAACAGAGTCTCACTATGTCACCCTCGGTAGAGTTCGGTGGTGTCACAGCTCACAGCAACCTCCAGCTCTTGGGCTTAGGCAATTCTCTTGCCTCAGCCTCCTGAGAAGCTGGGACTACAGGCACCTGCCACCATGCCTGGCTATTTTTTCTTGCAGTTTGGCCAGGGCCGGGTTAGTAGGGCTGGCACCCTACTCACTGAGCCACAGGCGCTGCCAAATGTATATATTATTATATCTATGTAAATATTGTTTACTGCTGAGCCAAGTAGTGTACAATGATTTTTTTTTTTTTTTTGAGACAGGATGTCACTATGTTGCCCTTGGTAGAGTGCTATGGCATCACAGCTCACAGCAACCTCAAACTCTTGGGCTTAAGCAATTCTCTTGCCTCAGCACCCAAGTAGCTGGGACTACAGGTGCCCACCACAACACCCAGCAATTTTTTTGGTTGTAGTTGTCATTGTTGTTTGGCAGGCCTGGGCTGGGTTTGAATCCACCAACTCTGGTGTATGTGGGTGGTGCCCTAGCTGCTGAGCTACAGGTGCCGAGCCTGGTGTACAATGATTTTACTTCCAATCTAACTATTCATTTTTCCTGGAGTCATTTTCAGTTGATTATTGTATTATACAGAGGGTACCAAAAAATAAATACACATTTTAAGAAAGAAAAAGACTGTATTAATTTGTAATTCTCAAGTCATGTTTGACTCCTGCTATTCCAAGAGGTGCTCAATGTGACTTGTACTCATCTTTTGTTATCAGTATATATTGAGGATTACAATTTTAATACAGTTCTTTCCTTTCTTAAAATGCCTACACATTTTTTTGGCACCCCGTGTATGTATGTGTGTCATTCACTCTCCCAATGGTTTTCTCTAGAAAACCCTCCAGTGCTGTCTTCCAGGTCCTCAAATGCAACAAGGCATCTATCAGTTCCTATTTGTTTGTTTCCTGCTGTATTCATTTCATAAGATTGCCTTAACAAATTGGCGCACATTTGGCCTAAAACAACAGAAAGATACTCTCTCACAGTTCTGGAAGCCAGAAGTCTGAAATCAAGGGATTAGCAGGGTTGGTTCTGGAGCCCTGGAAGGAGAATCTGCTGTGGATCAGTCTCCCAGTTTCTGGCAATGGTTGGCATTTCTTGGTTTGCAGCCACATCACTCCCGCTTCTGCCTACATCTTTACCATGTGGACTTCTTCCTCCGTCTCCTCACCCAGTCTGTTCCAGCCTTCTGTTCTGGTATAAGGATGCCAGTTGTATTGGAGTAAGAGCCCACCCGAATCCAGTGGGGCTTCATCTTAACAGTCATATCTGCAAAGTCCCTATTTCCAAATAAGGTCACATTCTGAGGTTCTGGGTAGACATGAATTTCGGGGGGACACTATTCAACCCATGATATCTGCCTCTGGTCTCTCTAGAGCTTTCCACCCTCTTGTTTGATTTGGGATAGTTGTTTTCTAGACTTACTCAGCTCCCTTAACCTTCCTGATGAGAATTCCCTTTACTTCCTTTTGAAAATCCTGTTTCCTTTCTTTCTCATCTCCTTCTCTTTGGTTTACAGTCTAATGGTGTTAGAATACATCCTCCAAAAAAATAAATAAATAAAGAATACATCCTCTAGTATCTGTCCAAAAAATGTACCTGGAAAGAAAGTTTCTTTGTATTACATATCTGAAAGTCTCTTTATTCAAATTTCACACCTAATTTGTTGTTTTGCTGGGCACAGAACAGGTTGAAAAATCATCCCTCCCCCTCCCACCCCGAACTCTGATGGTCTTGTGCTTTGGCATCTGTGTTAGGGGAAGGGTCATGCCATTTTGCTTCCTGAACCTCTTCACTCACTTCTCTCTACTTAAGCTGCAAGAGCTTCTCTCCAGGTTTTGAAATGTCCCACAGATGTGCCCTCATGCAGGTCTTTTTTTTATCATTTTGCTGGCACATGGTGGCCCTTTCGTCTGCAAATGCAGGTCCTTCATTTCTTTCTTTTCTTTTCTTTTTTTTTTTTGAGACAGAGCCTCAAGCTATAGCCCTGGGTAGAGTGATGTGGCATCACAGCTCACAGCTCAAACTCCTGGGCTTAAGTGATTCTCTTGCCTCAGCCTCCCAAGTAGCTGAGACTACAGGCACCTGCCACAACGCCCGGCTATTTTTTGTTGCAGTTGTCATTGTTGTTTGGCAGGCCCAGGCCAAACAGACCGGATTCAAACCCACCAGCTCAGGTGTATGTGGCTGGCGCCTTAGCCACTTGAGCTCCAGGCATCACCCCTTTTTTTAGGGGGGGGTGGACAGAGTCTCACTATGTCTCCCTTGGTCGAGTGCTGTGGCATCACAGCTCACAGCAACCTCAAACTCTTGGGCTCAAGCTATTTTCTTGCCTCAGCCTCCCAGCCTCCCTTATAGCTGGGACTACAGGCACCTGCCACAATACCTGGCTATTTTTTGTTGTTGTTGTTGTTTGTTTGTTTGTTTAGCAGGCTTCAGCCGGGTTCAAACCTACCAGGCCTGGTGCATGTGGCTGGTGCCCTAACCATTGAGCTCCAGGTGCTGAGCCAGGTCCTTCATTTCTTGAAAATGCTCTTACCTTGTATCTATTTGATCATTTCTTTCCCTCTGTTTTTATCCTATTTTGTGAAACTCCTTTTAGTCAGGTGGTTAATGTCATGGAATCAACCTCTAACTTTCTAATTTCTTTTCTCCTGCTTTACATTCCAGTATCTTTTTGTTCTGCTTTCTGGGAGAGTCCTAGTCTTTATCTTCCAACCCAGTTATGGCATTTTTTATTTTGGTTATCATCTATCCAGTTTCTAAGCTCCCTTTCTTGTCCTCTGAATGCTCCCTGTTAACAACATCCTGTTTGTGTCCTATAGATGCAATCGTTTCTCTTGTCTCTCTGATGACATTCCTCAGAGTTGTTTTGTTCAAGTTCCTTCTGTTCCCTGTATGGTCTGTTTCCGCTAAGTTCCTTTTCTCTGATTGTTTTGGGTTTTGTCTTTTATGTAATAAGATGTCCGTGACCTTGGCTGTCTCTTCCTATTTAAGAATGAATCACTTCAGAGTCAACTGAAGGCTTTGGGAGGGTGGAAACTTTTCTCTCTTGAGAGAGACTGGCCTGGAAGTGGCCGCTCAGTTGAGGGGGTCCCCAGCAGTGCTATCTATAGGCCCTTTGTCCCTGCCAGTTCATTTCCTCTGAAAAAGAATCCTTTAATCTCCGCCAGAGGCGGGAGGTAGAGGCCTGGAGTTGGGGTAGAAAACTGGCTGCTAGAGGTCTGAAAACTAAGTGCCCAAAGACTGGAGGTTTAACCATTCAGCCTACAGATGGGCATGTCCATTAGAAGTAGAATCTCAGTCACATACACAACTGAACGTTTTCTAGTAGCCCCCGTAAAAACAAAACAAAAACAACAGGAACCATGCGTTATTAGTTATAATGATATGTTCTATTTAACCCAGTGTAACAAAATAGTCCCATTTCTATATATAATTAATATGAAAACTGTTAATGGCATATTTTATATTCTTTTATTCATACTAAGCCTTCACCCACAGCACAGCTCAGTTGGGACTAGCCACCTATCCGGTGCTCAGTGGCCACCTGTGGTGAGTGGTCACTGTACTGGACAGCACGGGGGAGGCCATCACTTCGTTCTTGTGTTCAGTAAAGCACCCCCTCTTGTTCTCTGCTGGGCTGGATTCCCGTTCTCCCCGGCTCAGTTTCTCCAGAGAATAGACTCTGTCAGGGACTCACAGCTAAGCCTGTGGTCTCCTGAGGGTAGTATCGGCCACTAGGGGCAGCTATCTGTCTCATATCTAGACATTCAAAGCACCCTACTGTCCCAGCCCTACCCTGTCTCCTGCCTGCTTTCTCCACAGCACTGCCCCAGGCCACACTTCCTTTTCAGCTTTCTGCCCGTTGGGACATCAGTGGCCTCCCTCTGCCAGCTTTCTGTGTTCCTGAATGTGCCCACATCTCTGGTCCACTCTGCCCTTCCTTCCCAGCCTTTGTGCTTGTGGGCCTGTACCATTTCTATTCCTTTACTGCTATTTCAGAGGGGG